TAGATATTTAAAAAAGCAATCTCAAGCTTTCCGAAAGAAAATGTAACATAGATGCCAAATCAGATGAGAACTAACACTTGGTATCAACAGGAATATATTTGAATTTAAAAAGGCTAGCTGCATCTGACAGCAGTGTGTCTCAGCTAAAGTCTAAGCTGGAGTGGGGGGGTGGGGAAGAGAAGAGTCTTCAATAAATAAATGTTTATTGAGACGGGGGCAGGTGATAAGTAGAGTGACTCTATCATGTGACGCATAGAGGGTCAAGGAAGGCTTCACATCAGAAGTTACAGTTGGGCTGGGTCTTATAGGGCAGGTAATTTCTGGTAAATCCGAGTTCACTGAAGGCAGAGGGAACGGCATGTGCAGAGAGCAGGATGTTTGGAAAAGAACTGACATTTTCGGGGAATAATGAGCATGATACTTTGAAGCGTCTTACGATCTCTAGGATCGAGTGCTGTCCTCTGTATCACAGCCCTGGGAGAGCTGCAATTGTAATTTTTGTTAAACTCAGGGCTGAAGACCCTCCAAATGTGTATGAGGAACCAATTTCTTGCGTCCTTTCCTAAATCCAATGTGAGCTTTCAGATGGACAGAGGAAAGGTGTTCACAATCAAGGCCATCTTTCCCCAGGGTGGCCAGGATCAACAGAGGTGGCTAATGGCCCAGCAAGCCCCAGCACCTCCTGTAGTACATCTTCCCCATGTTGCACCTCCGGCTTCACTATTCATGAACTGTCAGAAGAAAGGGGCTGTGTGTATCGTTCGTTGTCACACAGTGACTTCCACCAAATATTTGCTCAAAAATATTGGTTAAGTGCAGGGGTTAACAGGACCTGCATCTTGTGCTTTGCAAAGGATGCAAGGTTTCTGACCACTCCCCACCCCCACCCCCACCTGTTTCTGAAGGAACACTTCTATGAAGTTCCTGATTATGGTAGAGATTGTCAGCTCAGGTGGACTTCCTGGGCACACAGTTAGACAAGACCACACACTTAACCCCTTTCTTGCGATTAGATGGGGCCACGTGACCAGGAAAGTGAGAAGTGATCGGTGCTACTTCCTGGAGGAGGCATTTGAGGAAGTGTATCAGCCAAAGCTCTCAACAATGATCCTAGGATTCGTGTATTGAAAGGATAGCATCATTAGATGAGTGTGGATTCCTGAGTCACCAGAAGGAAGCATACCTCACACTGACCCTCATGAGAACATGTGGAAGAATTAAATCTCTATGGTTCCAAGGAGTTGCCCTGTTGCAGTCCCTACCATGATTAATGTATCAGTATATTCCACTTACTTTCCATAAAACAAAGTGGGAGTATGGATTAGACATCAACTCAATACAGACACTGTTATTTGATGGAGGCCACAAGAGAACAGCTGTCAATGGACAAGTTCTACGTCACTTTCTCTCCTTTAGAAAAACACAAAGAAACTTCTCAGCTTGCAGTTTTGGAAAAGGTTGAGTATCTCTTGAGCATTTGAAAGTAAATGTGAATGTGATTCTTGATTGATCTTTCATTTCCTTGCCTACCAGGAAGCTCTGAGCCAAATACATCATTTATGTATGGCCTCTCAGAATGCATTTTTGTCAGTTCTCCACCATAATTACTTTGCTACTCAGTCCTCATTTTCCCTTTGGGTTCTGATTTATCCAAATTTCTGTTTTCTGTGTTTTATGCTCTTTTAAGTGTCTTAAAAACTCTCCTCTGTGGAAGGGATAAGGAGGACAAGGAAAGTTGAGAACCAAATTTTTAGAACGAGTTCTGGACAAATGATCTGTGAGCCTTTCTTCTCCTAACCCTGGTGAAGGCAGATCATATAAATCAGCTGAGTTTAACAATCAGTGATGTTGGTTTTAATTTACTCTTCTAGTTTTCATGACTATTAATTTTTCCTTTGATTTATAACAGTGTAGCTCAAAGAATATGTTAATGATAATAATAATTACTGGTGTAAGATAGTTGGTGGCAGTAGTTTAAAATAACTATGCTCATAGATTCAGGGTCCCCAGATGACATTTATTCATTAGTACTTCCTCCTTCTCGAGCTTCATATAGCACTTTGATTCACATTTTTGGTGGAAAACCTTCCCTCCATAAAATTCCCCCAATTGGTGATAAATATCTGATGTAGAAATATTAACTTTAAAACTCCCAGCTCATACCTCACCTTACTATTACCTTTGCTTTCCATACCTGTGTAGACTCAGTGGCTTGAATTAGCTCTCCTGTACATGCACTGAAAGACAACACTGTTATTATTCCCACATTTCTTATCTGTAAATGATCTACAACAGATGCACATAAACACATGTGAAAAAATTCTTTATTAATTTCTCACATTTCATTACAAAATGTATGTTGCAAACAACTTGAATAACCTACTGGTGTGTTTTGTTGTTTTTTAAACCCTTGGCTTCAAGAACTCAGAATCTCCCTCTCTCCTATCAAGTATTGGGAAACACTGATTATTGGAGTCAACAGGTTCTCATTTTGCTATTTATCTTCTCTCAAGCTCTGAAAAAAAAAATGTCCTCTGTATAAATTAAACAAAAAAATGTTGTAAATTCTATGTCATTACAGTCAACAGAATTATAATAATGCATCCAAAATGTGCGGCCACAAAATATCAGGTATATGTTTGAAAAAAGAAAAAAATGACATTCTAGCCTTGTTAAAAGGATAATGGTCCCATATTTTTATTAACAGGTTAGCAAAACAAAATCCAATGGATTACAATATTTACATGTTATTTGAAAAATAAAGTAGTGATAAAAGCATGTCACAATTATTTTCTGTTTTTTTTCCTTTTTCTTTCTTTCTTTCCTTTTTTTTTGCTTGATTTTTTTTTGTTTTTTTTTTGTTTTTGTTTTTTTGTTTTTTTTGTTTGTTTTTTTTTTTTTTTTTTTTTTTTTTTTTTTTTTTTTTGGTAACCATACAAACACCCAATCCAGGTATGGAACTGTTTAATACATTTGAAATGAGGCCAATTAAAAACAAATATGGACACAAAATGTTATCTTTGTCTAGATCACACTTTCCCCATTGTCTGGTTTCCACATGATGGCCCCCATCCCTAAAAAAAAAAAAATTAAATTAAAAGAAACTCCCTACAAATAAAACTTTTTAACAGCAAGAAAATAAAAGAAGAACATGCTTTTCAAGTAAGCACCTATTCCACAAATGCAGTATCTTTCCATGGATTTTATTTGAAGCTGTGTGGGACACTGTCATCTCAGGATTCCCTGCCCCTTTCTTCCCTCCCCCTCCCACAACCCTTCCAAGTAAAAAAAAAAACAAAAACAAAAAACAAAAAAACAAAACATGAAAACCAAAGGACTCACACACACTCATACACACGAGCACACACACATCCAAGCACACACGCACACAGGCTTCTATAACCTAGGCTTCAAGGAAAGTTCTTTTCTACTTTTTGGAATGAAACCCTTTGTTCACAATCAGAACATATTATAAATGTAGACTTAGATTTAGTCTAAGCTGCTCCCTCCTGAAAAAGCTAATATTGGGAAACAGAGCAGCTGGCAGCTACATTAAAAAAAAAAAAAAAAAAAAAAAAAAAAAAAAAAAAAAGTAGTTCTCCAGGCTCCTTATAGGATATAAGTATTTCTTGTCCACTCACCAAAGGGATGGGATTCTAGCATATCCCCTTGTTCCACAAAATAAATGAAAAAAACCCTCCCCCAAAACACAATGCAAACAAAAACAGAACACAGATTTTTAAATCACACACAAAAGCCAGCCCATCCTAACAGAAATTATTTGTGTGAGACGGATAATGTGTTAATTGACAAGCAACAAAAGGGTGAAGAGGACTTCCTCGTCTGGCCCACAAGCTGCATAGCTGTGCCGAAAAGTTTGGTTCTTTAGTTAAATTAAGGGGAAAAAAAAGTTAACTTCTTTGTTATTTCCATGTTTAAAATAAAGACATTCCTATTCACAAAAAACTAAATCTCCCTTACCCCCAAATTAAAACAACAATAACACGCACATAAAAAACAATTTATGTGAAAACTGAATTGTGCTGTGTTTGTAACACTCAAATTGATAGAAAATAAACATGTGGCAAACAAAACTCCACAGTCACCGTAAAATTAGCTCACATGAATCTACCAAATTCTAAATTATAGTTGAACACTAATAAACAGCTTACCTGGAATAAAGGATGACAATTCACAAACAGTTATCTAATAATTAAAGTCTGTTTCTTTTTTTTGTTTTGTTTTTTACTAAAATAATTAAAAAAATCACAGTATTTTAAGAAATAAAACCCACGTGGGGATTTTAAGCACAATTTGTGTTCCTTTCTTTAAAACTCTCTTTTTTTTTTTCTCCATTCACCGTCTTGCCCAGCAGTTCTCTCTACATTTAACCACAACGACGACAGGTAGTACTGACAAATGCAGAGAATTCCCTTGGTTAAGTTTGAGGTACTAGGAAACAGGTGACTGTTTTATGCAAAGCAGTTTTTTTGTTTTCTGTTTTTGTTTTTTGTTTTTTTGTGTTTTTTTTTTGTTTGTTTGTTTTTTCCCAAAGCGGCTGCAGTTAGGTCTTGAAAAAGCTTAAGGTATTAAAACTAGAAAAACGCACCGAAAGATGTGCGTCAAAAAGTTGTTCCCCTAAGAGAAGTCTTGTACTGTCACGGAGCTTCTGTTTCCACATCCTGTCCAAGACCACCACAGAGCACACCGTGTGCATGGGAGGTGCTTCCATATTCCGCAACAAATGACACTTCCATGATGAAGATCCGGAAGAAAAGGTGTAGTGATGGAAAAGGAGCCACATATTCCAACCATTTAAATAACTTTAATTTACATACTCACTCACACAGGTACCAGTGCTTTGAAAATAGATTGTTCAGTCCTAAAAAGCAGCTTTGTTCTGTCTTCTTTTCTGTCCCCGCCCTTCTCAGCCCAAGCTGGCCCTCCCCACTTTCTCATCACGGTTCAAGTACGGTTTGATTAAGAAGTTCACCAAACGCTTATTCTTTTTTGGCCTCTGCATTCTCCAGGAGAGATTTGTCAGCAGCTACTACACAGATGGCTACTGTTTCACTCTTTAGGGAAAAGTCTATCCCGATTGCCTCATCATCTTCCTTTTCCTCTATAGAGGGCATCTTAATACTGTCCTCCACACTCTCCTTCAGGTGGATTTCTTCTCTGCTCACCTGCTTGGTGTCATTCAACGCCCTGGAGAAACAGTGATGGTAGAGATGGATGAGTATGCCTTTTTTTCTAATTAAACAAAAAAGTCCTGATTTCCCTGATCCTAAAAAGACCTTGGGGTTTCCTTTGCATAAATGCCATAAACATATGAGTAAATTCTGAGTGATTTATCCTTTGCTACATGTTATGCTTAGGTCATGTATTTCAGCATCTTATTAAAGATGTGAACCTACAAAAATAGCCATTATTATACTCTGTTTTGATTATACCATGCCTTGTGTCCACATTAACATAATTATTTTATGTTCCCTCTTCTGGGTGATAGGTCATAACTGGTAGTAGTAGCAAGAACTGTCTTATGCTCAAACTCCTCTGTGTAACCCATAAGCTTGGAGATTGGCTATATTTATGAAGACTAAAAGAGCAACTCAGGTAAAGATTTAATGGACGGATCCAGAAACAAATCATAAAAAACAAACAAAAAGTAAAAACCCAAAGATGGAACCCATGTCTAGGGAAACTTAGTTAGGTTCTCTGAAGTTTAGATGCTTGGGGTTTCAGGGGCATTTTCTACTCAGGAACTGACTCCTGGGTTCTCTCTGTCTGGCAGACTAAGAGTGCCTCGTCTAGGGGACGGTTTTATGTTCAAAGATCTTACAAGTGTTTTACGGATATGCTCCCACCTACCTGGGAGGCAGGCAGAAGCTGGCTCTGTCCCCGAGGCAGAGCATTGAAGGCACCAAGAGGTGCGAGGGAATGTTCAAGGCCACTCAGGGAATGAGTCATCACAGAGGCAGGAACAGAAGCCAGATCTTTTGACCCCGGTCCACGCTCTATCAGAGAATGTCAGGCTAATGAAAGCTGAAGGGACACTGGCTGGAGAACGCTAAACTTCCACGCGAGGGCTTGAGTGGGATTTGTCTTTCGTAAAGATGATTTTTCCTCATTTGAGTTGTGTCTGGGTGACCATTGAAAAAACCAACAGAAAAGAAGAAACCTAGTTCCTGATGGCTGCCTCTCCTCCCAAGCCCAGAAATAAAGTGTGACACAGAGGGAAGGGCCTACGGATTGTCAGGGGGACCAAAAACAAAACAAAACGAAACAAAACAAACAAAAAGCAAAAAAACAGAACCTGCTCTCCCTGCCACTTCTCACTTTGGGCAAAGGCATCTTGGGACGGCTCAACTTACATGCCGTGTCTGAGCACGTGCCTTTCCCACTCAGAGCCCTGTGAGAACGCCCGTCCGCAAAATTCACATGGAAAACGCTTCTCAGTGTTAATAGCAGCCCCATGGTCAGCAAATCTCATCAGATCTGTGAGGAGAAAGCAGAAGTGTTACCTGTGTGCTGTGGGAGGAAGCAGAAGAGGGAAGTCAACATTCATTAGGAAACCTCCTTTCTTTCCTACTTTCACCCGTAAAACCCTCCATGAAGGCAATTTCCAGATTCCTTTCTCTTAGTTCTCCTACTGGCTTCTCACGTCAGGGCATTTCTTGGATAGCCGTCAAGAGCAGCTCCTGGGTCCCAGGCCCCCAGCAGCCCCGTTCCTCCTCACTGCCTCATCACAAATAGTCTGGGTCTTTCTGGCCCTAAGAACCCCTTCTGTCCGTTCCAACAGCGTCTCGGCAGTTTTTTCTATCGAATCTCTTCCTTCTAGGATGCTCTACCAGTGCCTCGCTATTTAGCACCTATTCATTTTCTATTTGACACAGGTTTATCTTTGCTCACTAAAAAGAATATAGAGGCACTGGACCAGGTTACGCGTAGCAGACCTCAGGGTTTCGATGCATTCCAAGTAGAGCTGAGGGCTCACGACTTGTGCTCATCTGTCACGGATGTCATAATCAACACCTCACAGGGTGGCAACGAGCACTGAATGAGATCTGCGAGCAAAGAAGCTAGCGTGAACGAGAATCCTGGGAAGCGGGGAGGCCAGTTTGTAAAAGTATGTCCTGAGCTAGTGAGGGCCCCTGGCTGGCTGCCTGACATCTACTCCTCAATTGGTGGTACTCATGAATGTGGGGGTATAGACATTTCTGGAAGGTCTGTTGCAAACATCAAATACTGACGGTCGTTTTGTTTTCTCCATGGCGCTGGGCACATGTTAGGGGTCTGATCAATGTGGATTGGCTGGCTAATTGTTTACAGACCACTCCTCCTGGCAAACTCAAAGATGAGAGCTCACGTGGCCTTTGTGTTCTCCCGAGTCCTAAGCCCATATGTCTTTCATTACACCACAGAGAGCCAATCTCCTTGTGGATAATAAACAGCAGGGCCGAGACGGTCCTGCAGCCACGCAGCAGAGTGAGGGCAGCATACGGGGAAATGTCCATCATCTCTACATATCTGATCACCCTATGCTTGTACATACAAGATGCTACAGGAAGATGTCCTCTGGTTGAAACACTTCATCTAATAAAATCCTCAGGATGATGTTAACAGGATAGGTGTCTCTGTGCTGCCTTAATCTTTAGCACAAAACGCTATGTGAATGGGCCAGTTTTAACAAAAGATGAAACATTTTCTCACAAATTAAGAAGATCACCACACAAGCCATTAAAAATAATTGCACAGACTATCTTCCTTGATTCTTTTCATTGGAAATGAGACAGCACCATCTGCTCTGCGCATTAATTCCTTAGCAGGGATTATCTTGGGCAAGAAATCAACAGAATGCCTTCCTGACTCCTCCCAACTGCATAATGAGAGGGGGGTGGGGAGGATTCTGCCTGGGTTAATTTTGATTTCTTCATGCCTGGTTTCTTCTTTTTCAAATTCCCTCCGAGCTTCCTAGGCAGGACCTGCAATATGGCCACGGTCAGTCTTCTCTCTAGTTCCCATGTTGGAAAGGGCGCTGGGAATGGGGTGGCTACAAGGACATGAGCCCCCTGCACTGAGCGTGCCTGATGAAAGTCTACACTTGCCAACGAGGGGCATGCTCCTGGCACATTTGCTCCTTTACCCTTAGGAAACATGAAACCAGTCATCTATTCTTTCCAATGGCTCATGCTGTTTCATCCTCAAAGGAGGAGGCCAGTCATTACCTGTCACACATCAAATAGCTCTCCATCAGCCCTGAGAGCTGCACTAAAGCCACCTCCCGCTCTACTCCTAGAAGACAGACCGTCTGGCAAAAACTCCCCGAGGCTATTGTGTGCCATTTCTTCTCATTGGCAAGAATATACCTAGATGGTGGAGAATGGATTCAAAGGAGATGAGACAAAGGAGGCTGTTCTTTCAAGGATCGGAAAGGGGGATAGGGAGGGTTAGGCTTGTAATTCTCATTAACATTACTAGAAGTTACTCATGTAAATCCCCTACCCTCAGAGAGAGGAATACATGCCCCTCTACCCAAAGACGTCCCCCCCCCCCCCATGTGGTTACGGCTCATGAATGTGGATACTACACTTTCCAGTGAGAACTGATCAGACACCATGAAATTCTTTACAGTCAAACCGAACTGGTCTGTCGCCCCAGTGCCCACGCAAAGGGGGCGGCCAAGCCAGGCAAGGAAGGAAATTTGCCTGGTGCCCCACGCACCTAACTGCCATCTATTTTTCTAATTTGCTATGCTTTCATTCTGGAGGAGTCACAGGGAGGGGAAGACTAAAAGGGCTTCTTGCCTCTGCAACACTTGTAACCTCTAAAATCGTATGTGCTCAGCCTTACAGATGAAAACAAGTCATAGTAACCAACAAGGAATAACTTATTTCCTAAACAACAGCAGGGCACAGAGCACCATGAAGCAAAAGGAGCCTCTGTCCCCCCTGTCAAAAGCATCCTCTTCTGGAGAACTCTGCTAACAGTGCACAGACGTTAAAGAATTCATCACTAAGAACATATTTGTGAAATGTTAAAAAAAAAAAAAAAAGGAAAAGAAAATTAGAAACCATGCTTCCTCAGATCACAGCCATTTCCCTTGCAAGAAATGGATCACTAAGGCATCTACTAATAAAAGTTGTAACTTTACAAGGGCAATCAACCTACGTGGTAGGGTGTTTTATTTGTCCACTCATTTTTCAGGTTGACCATGGGTACGGGGGCTTTGAAGAGCGGGCAGTCCCTGCTGTTGTCTTCACTGGGACTTCAGGGGCCCGAATGGACCCCCACACTGCAAACCTGTGGTCCCCTGCTACGGTTGTCATGGTAGGGATGGAGTGGAAGAGGGGCTGGGCAGGAAAGAGAACAGGGAGGAGAACCTCCAAGCGAAATGGCCACCAAAGAGGCATTTGTAGGCCTGCAGACCTACCGGGTAAGGAGGGGAGACAGTGACATTCTGCAGACGTGCACCTCGGAGGGAGGCCCTAAGGGGATTCAGGTCTAGGTTCCCTTCAGTGAAGAACATCCCACTGCTCAAAGTGTTCGAGAAATGAGATGTAGTGTAAAGAGATCTTGGCTTTGGAGCCAGAAGACCTAAATTCGGCTTCCAATATATATGTTTTTCCTTTGAACAAACTCTTAAATTTTCTGGGACTGTATGTCCCCCTTTGCAAAATGATAATACATGACATGGCAGGGCTATCATCGATGAGGTGGTTACTATGCTTCAGGAACTGCGCTGGTGTCTTGTATGTACATCATCTCATTTAAGCTCTCCACATCTCTAGGAGGTAGGTGATATTATTATTGTCAGTAATGAACGCAGATGGGATAAAACGATTTACCCAAAGGCATAGAGCTAGTTAATAGCACAACTGGGAGCCAAATTCAGGCAGGCCAACTGCAGAACCCTCTACATGATATCAGATTAAAGAAAATACTGGACGTGGCACATAAGGATGCTCCATGCTGATAACCTCATCCCATTCTTATCGTCACTGGGATGGTATCTATCCTGTGTATTTCTCATGTTTGTTATCCAGGTGCTTTTGATGAATCCCTAATAACTACACTAACACATCTGAAACCCATAGTCTTATATGTACCCTCTGGGGATTTCCGCAATATTCTATGTTGAACAATACAGAAAACCAACTCTAGATCATATAAATGTAGGCCTACATTTTTTTTTTTGAATGGTTATATAGATATACTTTTGAAAAGCTTTATCTTGAGAATAATCCTGGACTCAGAGAAAATTGGAAAAAGAGTACACAAATCCCACGAAAGCTTGCTTTGTGAACACACGGCTGAATGAAAACTGTCGCTCCCTTTCTCTCTCTTTACAAGGTGTTAAGGGCCAGGCAGAGGGACTTCCGGAGAGGGCTCAGGGTTCGAGTTCTTTGCAGCCTCCCCCACCACACAGCAGTGGCTGCCCTAGCAGCAGGAATTTTACGTAAGTGCTCAATGGGAAGTTCACTTACATTCCTCGTAATGAAACGTTAAGCTCATTTACATTTACGGTGTCCTCTGTGTTACTGTCTGCCCATCCCTATTGTGAAGCTTCCCCAGACACCAGTGGTCCTTATTAAAAACAAATCACCACCATATATTTTTTAACAAACATATAGCTATAGTTAGAAAATGTCTGTTTTCCTTGAAGTTTCTATGGCTGGTAATAGTTTACAAAGACATGGCCCCTGACATGTTTCTTAAGTCAGTCTGTTCTGCTACTTAACTAAGAAGGATCATTCCTTCTGTTCTTCCTACAACAACCTTCTGCCTCCCTTCTGTCTCACCATGGACGTGCTAGATGCCATCTGGGCCTCCGAGGGCAGGGCTGAGACTAACCTCTGTCATCAGCCTTGCTGTTCATTTCTTCTTCCTTGTCCTCGTCATCACTGCTGGAGCTCTCCATCTTTTCCTTCATCTGTTCCAGCTGATCCAAGTTAACCCGTCCAACCAGCTCAAAGTTACGGCTCACCTGAAAAAGGCCCAAACCAATGATAGAATAATGAACCACAGACTGAACAGGGTTCTCCCTGGGGGAGAGATCTTTCCAACGTCATCTTCCAATGACCGTGTTTTTGGAATCAGGACAGTACAACACCAGTGCCTAGGAGACCCTTTTCTTCACTTTGACTATTCCAGAGGCAGGTCTGTCCTCATTCGGGCTGGAATGTCCACATTCCAACATTTTTAAAGGAACACTGGACCTTCCTTACTAGATTTAGTATAAAATGTGAGCTACAGTCAACAGGAAATCAAAGTATCACAAAGCCTGGGGTACAGAGTAGGTGTCCAATGATACCTTTTGAGTTGATTTCAAAGGTGTAACTTTTTTAAACTACCTAAGTTTCAAACACCTCTGGAGGTGAAGAGGCTCTGGAAGGTTCCTGAAAACTTAGCATGAGAATCACAACCTTCTTCCCCACAGTCTTATAAACCTGGAGGTCTGGGGGCTACCCCAGCTTAGGCCAGATAACAACTATCCAACTCCTGACTCCAGTAAATGGAAAACAATACTGTCACTGTTAGTGTTACTGTTTTCAAAGCTGGCCATAACCTGTAGATTGAAGCTGGGACTACCTGAGAAGAATCTAGACGAGTAACTCCTAAAAGCCCTTTAAGTGTTAACTATGGCTGATTTTTGTTTATGTAAAACATGGTTAGAATAATGTGGGAATCCAAACTTTCGTCCAAACAACACCCAAGGGAAATAAAAATCCACACTAAAAAAACTTTATAATGATGTTACGTTTAGGGTTCTTACATCAACAGTAGCACAAAATTTACCTTCTTGACTAATCTATTTTCAGAGTTTCTCCAGTTTGTATGCATAGAATTATCAGGAATGACAGGTTAGCACAGGACTCAAGCCAACAGTATGTCTCAAGTCATTCAACTGCGATGGGCTATTCCTCTGTGGAAGGTGCCGTGCTCCCCCTGTTGGGGGCCGGGGGAGGGACCCACAGAGATGAGTGAGACCCTGTCCTGGCCTCCAGAGGCTCACAGTTTAGTTGGGGAGGGAAGGCAGACATCATTCATTAGATTTCAAGGTAGATTTCAAGAGCTGCTACAGAAGAGACAGAGCATATTGAGGGCACAGGAGAGGAAAGGGAGAATTTACAAGATAATCCCAAAATACTCTCTGGGACCAGACTGGAACAAAGATTTGCTGAGCACCACCAATTCCATATGCCTGGCAGATGGGAACATCATCATCAACTGTGACAAATGCGAGAGAAAAAGACTCAGAGTAGCAGGGCCAATAGACAGTCCTGTGAAAAGACTTAATATTGCCCCAACAACATCCTGTAGAAGGTAGGCAGCGTGCAAAAGGAGGAAGAAAACTCAGGATAAACACACTTTTAAAGTGACAGGAATAATAAATTGATCCGACTTTAATAATGCAATCCATGAAATCGGTTGACAGTGGACTTTGCCAACAGCCCAACATGAGGGAGAAAAGAAGTTTCTGTTGCTCTCATTGCTAAACGCTCAGGGAAGGCAAGAGCTTGCTTTGCTCATCTGCAGAATTAATTAAAATGAAAAGTTAATGGACTAAGGTGAGAGGGAGGAAGAGTCACGTTCAGAATCTTTAGTGCTCCTCCTTGCTAACAGTCCACAGTAACTGTCTTCAAGGGACTTCTGCTTGTAGCACCTTCCTACCTGGGATGTATCTACCACGCCTCACTCCTACAGACCCACAAGGACTTTTATTTCTTTGTTTGTATGACATAAAACCAAAAAAGAAGAGCAGAAGGAGAATGAGGTTTGAAGTCTGACAGACCTGACTTCGAGTTCACAGTTTGCCATTAACCACGAGATTGTGGGGAAGTTACTCAAGGTACATCCTCAGTGTCCTCGTTTGTTAAAGGGGGTCAGCCCAGTACCTAAAACATAATAGTTCCCCAAAATGTAGTTTCCTTCTCCTTTCTGGGAACGTGGCCTTTTCCAATTTTGGCTTTTGGAAACACTTATAACAAGCATCGTAAATGAATATTTATGAAGTTATGTTTAGCCACAAAGTCTACGTTTTAACCAAATAGCATTTATGACAAATATTTGAATAAAAGTTTTCTGGGTTGCCAGTTTTTCAGGAAAAGGAGGCAAGGTTCCAATTTACCTAACTTTGAAATATGTGTAAAGTAACATATCCTTATGTGACCACAATTTTCTTTTCTTTTTTGTTTTCATAAACGTTTATTTACTTTTGAGAGAGAGACAGAGAGAGGGAGGAAGAGTGCGAGCAGGGCAGGGGCAGAGAGAGAGGGGGACAGAGGATCTGATGCGGGTTGACAGCAGCGGTCTGACGCGGGGCTTGCACTCATGAACCATGAGATCATGACCTGGGCTGAAGTCGGATGCTCAACCGACTGAGCCACCCAGGTGCCCCAAGCGTAGCCTTTTCTGACCACCTTCCTCCGCTTTGCACCTCTAGCCGGGGCAACTGCAGGTGTGTGTGAAGGCCATGAGGGCGGCCGTTGCCAGGAAATGAAAATAAGGAAGCCAAGATAAGATAGGTCAAAAAGAATCCTCAAATGTCTCCTTTAATCAGGTCATTTATCCGTTCAGTCATTTGTTCATTCCTTCAACAAGGACCCCACGTATGCCAGGCCCCATGCTAGATGGAGAAGCCCCTGCTTCTCAGGGAACTCATGACAGAAGGAGATCTGTCACAAAACCAAATGTTATGTTTTTCTTTTCCTCCTTCTGGGTTTTTCTGAGGACTGTATTTGCCCATTTTCCCGTCACCATCATCCCTCCACCAGAAAACTGTTAACATGTTGGAGTCTGCACAATTTTAAAAGAGTACATGACATTTTCACGGTATGACGTTCATCCGGGGCTAACCCGGGATTTATTTGTCCTGAAGCTTTCTAAAATCTTTGTTAGGCAATTAAAAGATTTCAAAGTGAAAACTCAAAATTTTGCTATTTAACCAGAAGATTTTAAAATAAAAACCCTTTACGATGTTGGGTTCTCCCTAAACTTTAAATTCCCAAATCAGCCATCCAATATTAATACAACAGGAAGACTCCTTGATGCATTAAAAATGTCTTTTAACTATTATTTGGAATTTTAATTACTTCTCAAAGATGTTAGTGCTTTATCATATTCATTTTTTAAAAATACCGTGGTTTTTAAGATGGAGGTATAGCTAACACCCAATATTACAGTAGCTTTGGGGGTACAATGAGGTGATTGGTTTATACATTAGGCTACGGTCACCACCATGGTAGATACGTCCAATCAGTCCACGTCGCCATTACAACACCACTGGCTCTAGTCCCCACGCTGCGCCTCTCATTCCCGTGACTCATTCATAACTGGAAGCCTGGATTTCCTATTCCCCTTCACCCGTTTTGCCCCTCCCGCCACCCCCCTTCCTTCTGGCAACCCTCAGTTTGTTCTCTGTATTTATGGGTCTGTTTCTTTATCAGTTCGTTTTCTAGGTTCCACATTTGGTACCTGTCTTTCTCTGACTTATTTCACTTAGCATCATACCCACCAGGTCATCCTTGCTGCAGTTTTGAGCCACCGTCTCTCACCTGGAACACTGCAAGCCCCCTCCCTCCCTCCTCGCTGCTTTCCCGGCATCCCGTCTTACATCTATTTTCCCGTGTGGTCCGAGAGATTGAAAATAAATACGTGAGTCTACTCATGTCAGTTTCCGCTGGCCCGGAGGACAAAATCTCAACTTCTCACTGTAGTTGGAAATGGCCAGCTATCTCCTCACCGGGCCCACCTTCTCCAGACCACCTGAACCGCCACCATCCTGAACTTACTGACGTTCCCGGACTACGCCATGCTCTGGACTTTCTGCCTCTTCCTGCACAGGCCACTTTCTCTGTCTGAAGTTCTCTCTACCTGCTTCTGTTACTCAGGGACTCCTCCGTCTTCTAGCCCTGCTTCCGTGTCACTACATCCTCCGTAAACTCCTCCTTGGTTGAATGTCCTGGCTCTATGCTTCCGCAGCACCCCCCCCCTCCCCTTTTATAACTCCTCCCGCTCAGTGGTTAACTATTTATGGCCTGAGCCTCCCCCACTGAACTGTAAGCTCATGCGGACAGACAGACAGACACTCTGTGCATCTCTTTCACAGCTGGATCTCCACGGCTGGTGCAGTGTCTGCGTTAGAGGGGGTGCTGCTCTCTCCTGCCTACAGTACTTCTTCGTTTTAATTTACTATGTCTTTCTTTCCTAAAAGCACGCATGAAGAATAACTGGAAAATAGAAAAAGCTTCAGGTCCAACTATCTATACATATAACTGTTAATGAGTTATTGTATTTCTGTATTCCTGTTCTCTATGCATAGATTATTTAATTGCTGTAATCATGTTAAAACCTACAAGTGTGTATCCTGCTTTCTTTTATGCCTGGCATGGTATAAATACCATTAATAATCATTTTCAATCACTATAACCAACTGAATGTACTACACCTTACTTGACTCCCCCCATATGAGTTCGCCTTTGCCTCTTGGCTTTTCACTATTAAAAATGCAGCAAGCCATCTTACTGTATATAAATCTTTCTTTCATGTTTAGCTTTCACTTTATGGGCTAAATTTCCAGATGTGAAATCAACTCAAAAGCCATGGACTTTACTGAAGTTCCAACAGATTTCTAGGTCAGCTTCTGAAGTGATCATACCAGTAAGTTACTTTCTGGACCTAGAGATTGCGCATATGCAGAGGACATACTGAGGGAAATTCACTTCTTTCTCTGGAGGTGCCAAGAAATTGACTGTCTTGTCTCCCAAAAGGCCCACAAGAGAGGGAGAAAGACCAAGGGTAAGAGTTCGAGATTTAGAACCTGGTTCCTTGAAGCCTTTGGAAGGCAAAAGAAACCATACATGTGTTTGAAGATGGGCTTGTTCAAATACATAATCCCTCAGACTGTAAAACTATATATAGATCCTTATATCCGTGAAAGTTATTTGCGATTGCCCATGAATCCAAAGTCCCCTGTGCAGGCCA